AAGAGCCCGCCTGGGTGGGAAGGTGGTGACAGGTGGGTGCAGCAAGCCGCTCCCAGCAGCCACCTTGTGTGTGGCCTTAGGGGGTACCTGTCTTCCTGGCTTGGAATGCAAATTGGAACGACTTTACCCGTTATTTTAACTATTACTTAAAAGTGTATCAAGGAAAAAAAAAATCTCATTAAGAATGTTATTGGTACTGTTTGAATGTTTTGAGTCATGTTCTCAGCAGTAAATCTGCAGCCTTGCCAAAGACTTAAGGGTCTCCGATGTATGGCTCGAGATTTAACGTGTTAAAACTATTTTTCTTAAAACTGTCTTTTCCTGTCAATGATAACTGTATATGAACATACGTTGCCATTTCAGGGATTCTGGGTCTTTTTTTGAGAAAAATGTTCAGTTTGCTGGTGGCCAGAGAACTAAATAGCCAATACAGTAAACTGTTTCTGGTAACCTGATGCTCACTTCCCAAGCACTTAGCCTGAGTGCAAGAACCATTTAATGTGTTTTATAAATTATTGTGGTGGGTCTTCTTCACATCAGAAGTTATCACTGTTCTTCAGTGGCTTTTATCCCAGTGGGGCAGATGGGCACAAGCGTTACAGCCAGCCCCCCCAGCTGCGTTCTCCGCCGCGTAGAGCTCTCTGTCTGAAGTACGAGCCACAGGCTGCCTGCCAGGGCACAGCTTCCTCGGTCCATCGGTGCGGCTGCAGGTGTTGCTAGGGCATGTGCCCTGCAGCATTTCACTGGAGTGGGTCTGCTGCAGCAGATGTATTCTGTGAGTGCAATAAATAGTGGCCAAAACAGGGGAGAGCGGCTGGTTAATGCGGTTCCTCCTCTTACGAGTGACTTCTCACAGCCCTGCTTTTGGTTTAAATAAACCCTGGTCACAGTTTAGGTTCTGTAGCAGGTAGAAGTTGCAAAAGCTACTGCGTGGTGCGAGACACCCATTTTATTTGTTTTTAAATTTTTAAATTTTTGAATTATTTTATTCAGCTGCTTTGTGAGGATAGATCTATATTCAGAAAACATTTTCTTATTAAATAGCCATTAACACAGGCCTCCCAAGACATCCAGTGTACGGCTGTGTCGTGTTCCAGGCCGTTTAAAAAAGAACGTTCACAATTTCTTGATGGTGGGAATGTGGATGCTGCTTTGGCCTCTCACCCGTGTTAGCAGCACGCTGCTGCCGCGAGGGTGTTTGGGGTTGCTTAACCGCTGCAGGTCGCAGCGCTTGCGGGTGCTCCGGACCCCTGAAGCCGGCAGACGGCCCGGGGTCAGTGGGTGGGCGCCTGGCTGGAGGGTGACGGCTGGGGCGCGGCTGTGCGGGCGGTGCCCTCGGCGCAGTCTGCCGCCTGGGCGCTTGGCTGCGGGTCCTTGTCGCGGCCTCTGTAGATGCAGCCTGCGGGTGCAGACGTGGCG